AAATTAGCGAAAATTCTCATTAATCCAACAAAAATGAAAATCACTCTGTCATCATAATAGCTTGCGTACAACAACTTGCCATTCATTTTTCTCTCAGCTTATAAATTTTCCTTCAAAATTCCATTCAAATAAATAGAAAAAATATTTCTGAAATATTTGTTTTGAGAGCAAAAATTCCATCATTTTATATGCCATTGCCTGTGATGAATATAAATTTGTGTGGAATTTGCTGAAACAAATAGTCTTATTTGCGACATCAGCCTAAATTCAAACATGAACATAAATTCCTAATATGCTTTTTACACTTACAACAAATGAACGATATAATCTCTAACAAATCTATGTCGAAAGAGGCTGTGTATGTGAGTCTTGAAAAAGAATAGAATATTGTGGACAACGAGACATTAAACTCAATTATCCTTATCTTATGAAACATCCATTTTCATTATGCTTGACAAGAGATAGATAAAAGAGCCTTACACATCTAGTATGGAGAATGAAGGAAGAAAGGAATAAAAAAAAAAGGAGGAAAAACTGTCAATTAAAATGAAGATTATCTTTGTGCAACATAAAAAACATAAGAATATCACTTTGCGTATAATGACACGAGTGTCATCATCATTATTATTGTCATGTCAATGCTTTTTAATTTTATAAAAGGTTCATACCCTTTTAGCCTCCTTTCTCTTTCATTGAACCCCCGCTGAAAACTTAGTCATTATGCAAAATAATTTTTTTTTTTTGATGACTAAAATAAGATTTATTTATAAACACAAAAACATCCTTTGGCAGTGGCACAAACTTTTTCAATAAATATGCAAATAAATTCCAATAAAAACTTCCGAGCAAGAAGAAATTAATTGAAAATTAATTAATGTGAAATTATGTCTAATTGACATTGATGGGAAAAGGATTGATGTTGAATTTTATGTAAATCACATTTTTCTCTATTAAATCAATACATGATACTTTGCTGATGGCAAGTTAATAATTTCTGAGTTCTTTTTAATTAATTTAATGGTTCTGACCTTTCTACGCAATCAGTTTTATTGAAACTTTTCCAGTGTTGCTATATTGTGTCTGTTTATGTAGACTGAGAGTTTGTACAAACTAAATGACAAAACTTAGGGGTTGTTCACTTATTACATTCGCAGTTGTAGAAGGGGGGGTCTAGGATGAATAAGACTTAATTAACAGAGCTTGCTGAACAACCTAATCTGCTTATAGGAACAGAAATCTGCAGTTAAAAGTAATATTGCATTTTGCTAGGATCAAACCCATTCATGACACAAATACACTGGCTAATACCTGATTATAAAAATCAAAATTCAGTCTAATATCTGAACATGACGTTATGTGCTTAACGAGCCGATAGGGTTCTAGTCGACTCAAGTTGACTCAAAACCGAGTTGACTCAACTTTTCTTGTGTCGACTTCATTTTCTCGGTTCTCTAGTCAACTCGAGTCGACTTCGAGCTCGGGTTGCTAATGTTGTCATTTTCTAATTTTACAGCATCTGACTTCATTAATGCATCTTGCGTACATGGATTGTAACTAAAACTATTGCAGGTTTCATTGCAGTGCAGAGCTTACAAGTAGTTCGGATTCCAATAGATTCTGTCCTAATTGAATCGCAGTGCCTCCAGCCAGAGTTGCGATCTATAACTTGTTTGTCACCTGTCATTGCCTGTCAAATCAAATGACAGATCTGTGACAGGCAAAAAAATCCAGCTTGTCACAGGTAGTGTTTGTTGATAGGCGACTTGTCTTGTAACTCTGTCTGCAGCTCAAAATGTTGGGTACTTTTAACACGATTGTAGGTTCGGTAGGTTCGGGTGATTTTATGTAGGTTCGGTAGTGTTTAGGGGTCTGCAGGAGTGACCAACCTTTTTTGTGAAACGGTAAACCTTTATGGTAAACCATGACCGAAATCACACACAGCATAAAGTTTTAGGAATTTTCTTAATTTTTACACAAGTGTGCAGTGACACATGGGTTGGCTATCGCTGATTTAGGGCATCTAGTATAAGGGTAGAAATTAGAGCTATCAACAAGGTGTTTTTGGAAAGAAGCTTAACTGTATCATAATCGGTTATGCCTTAGTTTTTTTGCCAATTTATTTGAAGTTCCATATTCAATGCTTGTCACAGAGAGTTCACTTAAAAAGTCTAAAGATACATTCTGGTGATGACTGTATCTTGATCAAATCTATGTCTGACCCCGTTTGACTTTAACATCTAAAATAACATCACTGAAACTTTAAGTAAATTGTCATTCAAATAAACTCAAAAGGAGAGCTTTCAATCTGATTAATATACAAGAATTTGATGGAACAACACGATGAAAAAATCACAAATCATTTTTGACATTTTTTGTTCGTCTTTCATTCATTTTCATCTCCTTCTCGCCATGCCTCATTCATTGTCAGCATTTTAGTAATATAAACTGGAAAAATACTTTTTAAGTTTAAATGAAAGGAGAAAAAAAAATGTAAATGAAAAGTTTTTATTACGTTTTGTGTTTTTTTGTCCCTAGAGGGTGACATCCAGAACAGAAAACGTAAAACGTAAATGAAAGAGGGAAAATAATTTATTTAACAAAAGAAATAGAGACTTTTTCAACTGGAAAATTGCAATATGTTCCTTGAGAGCCATCAAATAAATTTCTATTTTATTTATAGCTCATTTTGGTTAGAACGAATAAAACAAAACGAGGGAAAAAAGGGAGCACAAAGTGGAAAAACAAAAAACTTTTTAAATGTCTTCTCCAGATGTGACTTTTATGTGAAAAAGCTGATTGATATTAAACTGTTGTTGCTGAAAAAAATCAAAAAAGTTGTAAAAATTATTCATGAAAATAATTTCAATTTCATACAAGTGAGAAATAAAGTCAGATGTAAGTGGCACTATTGTGAGCAAATCAAAACAAAAACATACTTAAAAATTTTGCTACAATTTTGTACAGACACAAATACCATAAATCACGATGTGTAAGCTTTGGTTTTTGCGGTTTTGGTTTGAAATTCTGAAAACAAATAAAAGATTGACTGAAATAAAAATGTTTAAATGAATCTATTTTGTTATGAAATTTTGATATTTTGGTATCTGGAGATTAAAACTATATTTTTTTCAGAATTTCCAAATAATGACAATTGATTGGAATCACAAAGTTTAAGTTGACATTCTTCCAAGATTCTTAGCACCCCCCTATAGCTCAGTGGTAAGAGCATGCGACCGGAATTCATAAAGACGTTGGTTCGATTCCCGCTTGGGGCAAGCTATTGAGAAGTTTTCTTCTAGCAGATAAAAAACAGAACACATTTTAATTAAATTCTGAAAAGGATCAGGAAATCTGTTTTTTTTTGTTTGAACTTAAACCTCATTTTTAAAAATTCATCAGCATCCAACCAAATCTAGTACCTAGGTTGAAAAATTCATTGAATTACAAAAACCTAGATCTCCTCCTTAAGAACTTAAAGCAAAAGCTGTTGACAGAGACAGTATTACACTTGGTATTAGTAATTATCAAGTGATAAGTCTGCGATAGAGCCAGCTTCAGGCGCCATCTAAGGGAGGTTATGGATCACAATTGAGCCGTACGGCCAGAGAAATAATTAAATAAGTACAACCCCTCTTCCCCAAAATCAAACTAAGTAAGTGAACAGCCTCTAATGGAAATTCACGAAAATCCCACAACTTAATTGTTGACTTAATAATTGCGTATTGCAAACAAAATAATCAAATTGCCAAGCTAAAATGCATTTTGTGTTCATTCGGTATAACTTGATATGGTTAACGAGCTGCTAATTAATTCAATTTTAATTTATATAATGTCATGTTGATGCCACAAGCAGATTATATTAATGTACATAGCTGTAGAATAGAGAACAACTTCTCTATAGCATGCATATGAAGTAAATTACGAGCAATAAGATGAAGACCTTTCATCTCAATAGTGTTTTTCGCATGGCTTATTTTCCATCCATAAACAGGATGGATAAAACTTTTTCTCATACACAAGATTATAAATTATATGAAGCAGAAAAGTTTTTGAAGGGTATAGTAAGAAGGAATATGATTTATGCATGATATTCATTAAAAACCAAGGAAGAAATTCTTGAAATATCTCATCATTCCTAGCTTTCAGATATGTATAATATTGTGAGTGAGTTTAATTACTTCACTCGTCATTCAGAAGCTCCTCATATTTGATGTTGAGATTTCCCATCTCCATCCTACGCTTATTAGCATAAGAATTTATTACATTTCCTTAGTCGTAAACGTTCTACGTTCCCATTGTCAATCCTTTAAGCACACAACTGCTGCTACATACATACAAAAAAATATATATATGGAAATTATCATTATTATCTCATCAAATGTTTTTTAGCGCATTTTTGAAACTTGTTTCTAAAAGGTAGCTTAATAATACACTTTGTTTGGCTGTTTGGCTGTTCGGGGCATGAAAAACTTTTTAGCTAGACATCGTAGAGAACTCGGGTTTGTTTTATTACCTCAGTTCTATCGAGTTATTGGCCGGCCGAATAGTAAAAAGTTTTAAAACAGTGTATTTATACTTTAATAAATGATTTTTTATTTCATATGAAAAACATGTGATGGATGCGTTTAGAAATTTGAATTATTTTCTACCGTTGTAAAAATTGGAATCAGGGTGCGTTTATAAATTCAAATGTTTTTAACCGGTAAAAATTTGAATTCCAAAAAACCCTTAAATGATGAAGACTGCATATTTGGACATTCATTGTAATTATTTGTTAATTACACTAAAATTAATAATCTTCTAATCTTCTCATGATCTGTAAATGAACGTGATATAATTAGATAATCAAATTCTGATTGCTAACACAAAAATGCGCTTAAGTCCCTTGATCAATAACACGAGGACTTCTGTAATTTTTTTTCATTCAAGCATGACTGTAAGGACGAACATCAGAAACAGAAAAGTATGAAATAAATTCAAGACGTTTATCTTAATCCTAAAAATTTTATTATTGTATTCCTTTTCCTTTTTAACTTCAAATTTTTATTTGACGGGGTAAAAGTTTAAAATCATTTTTCCCTCATTTTACCAACATTAACAGAATTTTTTCACGTTGAGACAACTTTTCGTTCGTTTCTTAAAATCATTTCTACGTTTATTTATTTATTCTTGGGGTAAAAAGGGATTTTTTTTTCTCATTTACGTTATTTCTTCTATCTTGAACAAAAAGGATATTTATTACGGTAATGACTCCGTCATGTATCTTTTTTTGTCTTGTTTACCTCCTTGCTTTGTACGCAATGCTCACACAAACAAAAAATTATATGCTCATTAATTGTAATTAAAATTTTCCACAAGGCATGGCATGACTTCACATCGTCTTTCTTCTAAACGCTCCGTACATAAGTGCGGTTGTGGATGATTAAGGACGGCTCGCGTTCTTATCTGAACAGCTGAATCGCCACAAGTTTTTGAGCATGGTGACCATGCAGACCACTTTGAATAGGTACATGAATTTGGATTATTATTTGAGCTCTCCATGGATGCTGATTCTGTTTTGTGCATGTCACAATTTACTTGACAACTTTCCAATCGTAACATTCTTTTTGGACATGGTCTACCGCCATTTCGAGGATGTTTCTGTTGTTTTAAAAAAAAATTGTAAAATGGAAACAAAAAAAATGACTCCAAAAAAAATTTATGCTTACAAGAATAATTCTCGATTTCCATCGATATCCATCTCCACATGTAGCATTGCAGTCTTCTCGTTTCCAATGAGAAACCTCACAATCGATTTTCTCATTGAGTGCGTTCTGTCCAGCATTCAACGACGATGAAGACTTGACAAGTGTCTGTGAATATGACTGCAATTTGTTTCCCACATTTTTTCCTGTCAAGAGATGATTAAAAGCAAAAAATATGATATATCAGCATTAATCCATACATTATTGTGTGATATATACATGAACACATACTTGGCGAACAAATCTGCTGACATTGCTCTTTCGACTCAAAGTTATTTTTATTGCCATGACAACCACTGTATGGAAATGCCGAACAATCTTGTAAATTCTTATCATAATACCATCTGTTCTCAGCATGACTTCGACAAGCTCCAGGTTTTGGATCAAGAAGACAAAAAGCTACATTGAGTTATTTTTGTGAAGAACAAGAAGGAAAGGAAAATGAAAGAGAGCACAAGTTGGAGTAAGTTTTGTTGATGTTTAATGTTTAAAGCGCATTTTATTGTGCTGATGATTTATGTTAATTATCAAAGTAAATTTGAGCCGCCCACTCTAGGCTTAGAGACTCATCAGCAATAATGTTTTACAATCTCATAATTTTTAAATTTTCCTTGTGAGTGTCTAAGCCTTGACTAGGCTGTCTATCGATTTTTGGTCAAAAAGGGGGACATGACTAGAATTCAGCTGTAAAAAAGCGGGACAGACCACATTTTCAAGTATATTTTAAGAAAAATAGGTTCAAAATTGCGGGACATGAAAGATTTTGTTTAAAAAAGCGAGATTGTCCCTTTCAAAAGTGAGCAGTTGGACAGCCTAGCCTTGACACGACACCTCATTAGACTTCAAACTAGAATCAAATTTTTTGAGGCTCCCCAACTTTAGTTCTTATTTAGACTAAGACACACCCCTTTTTCAAGTTCTAAGTCTTACAAAATGTACCCTCAATTTTAAAAGGCTGAATAAAATAAGTTCTAAGATCCAATAAGACCCAACAACCACAACAACATACAGTTCAAAAAAACACGCTAAACATGAAAATAATAAAGTTTTTCTTTTCTGTAAATAGTTTTCTTCATCTTACGAGGCATTCCATAAAATTCATATTCGCATGGTTTATTCCGCATTCCACAAGCTTGTTTTTGAACAAACTCTTCATTTATGCACGGATGCTTTGACGATGATGAGACACCCAATATTTCTAGATCACTCAATTCTTCACCATCTCGCTCATTTGAATTTCCTGCATCATTTTCCTCCCCATCTCGGTTACCGTTCTCGATTTCATTGCGGTATTTATTGTTTTTTGAATTGAACTTTTTGAAAAGTTTCATTATTTTATGTACGTGATCATTAGCACTTGAATTTTTATCAATCGGTACACGTACACGCATTCTCTCGCCTAATCCGCACGTTGAAGAGCATGGAGACCATTTACTCCATTCGGTGAGTCTACATCTATAGTCAAGCTTTTAACAGTGAAAGAGAGTAAAGTAATAAAAAGTTATTTATGACGGTAGCAATTAGAACAACGGAGAGAAGCGACAGGGATTAAGTAAAATTGTGAACAAAAGATTTCCTTGAAATTGAGAATGATAAAAAAAATAAGTTCAATCCCTGCTTCGTGAGCGCAACAAAATGAAAGCTAGAAAACTTTATCAATTAACTGTAATTACCTTTCTCACTTGTGGCTTTTGTTCAACACTGATTTCATCGCCTGAACAGCTTTTTCCTTTGCAATCAATGAACTGTTCCAATTCAACTGGATACATTTTCTGACATTTCTTATGATTCTTTCTTATTTTATATCGTCTCGTTCGACTTCGATGTCCCTTTCCACATACGGCTGAGCATTCACTGAATGAAGTCCAATCGGTCAGTACACATTCGGGACTTGGATTTTGTTCACTATAATCTTCATCAATGAAATCATCATCACAATTACTCTTTGTTCCGTAGCACTCTTCATGATCTGTAAGCTTCTTCTTGCAATTCTTTTGATAAGCAAGCTGTGGATTAAGGTAATAACGTTGACGTGACCTCCTTCCTTTTCCACATGGGTTATCGCACTTTGACCATTCTGTCCATTTTCCTATAGCACAGTCATTTAGTGAGTCTTGTGATGTGATACTGTCACAATTTTTCTCATATAACCGTTGTCGTGATAGATAAAGTCTGGCTAATGGCTTCATTTCTTTATTTTCTTGGTCATAAAATGGTGAACGTGGATCATTCGGATAATTTGGTTTTATTCTTCTTATTGGTTCCTTCGGTATTGTCGGTTGATCAGGTGAAATGTATGTTGGACCGGAATCGGTTCCGGCATCAACAGGATATAAATTTAAAATTTTTTGTTCAATCCACGAGCCATTTCCGAGACAAAGTTCTAATCCGCTTACGCCTACAAACCAGTCGGGTGATGGATATATCATTGACACAAGTGATACGAGATGATGCGAGGCATCGACTCGAAAAACGGCAAATGTTTTTCCTGTAACATTTGGATATGAAATTCCTCGTGCCTTGATTATCGTTCTGATATGTTCGCTCTGTCAATTTTAAATGAAAAGAAGGAAAGGAAGCAAAAAAAAAATCGTTTAAAGTTTTTTATTTTGTGGTTTAGTGAGCAAGAAATATCCGAAAGATAAATAACCTCTTCTTTTAGTTCCCTCTCCAGCTGTCTCGTTGAACCATGCTCAGCAACTTCCTTTAATCCCTCGCTATGCGAACGAAAAGTATTAGCAAGAGAAAGAGAGAAAAGGAGATAGATTTAATATCATAAAGCTTAGCACAAAATCCTCAATGTAAATATTTTTTTATGAATGCTTTACCTTGCTGGCTCTCCATAAGTCCAAAATCGATATTCTGTCGTATGTGAAGCTCCAATTACATCGCTAAACTTTGTCAGCCAGCCATTTGATGGAAAGTCCTTTGGGTGTGTATTTCGAGACCAAAGTCCTTCAAATGTCAATTCATATTTTGCTTCATCACACGCTCGACATTCTTCAAGGATTAATGGCTGAGAATCACCTGAATCTGTGTTATCTTCACACAATGTTTTACTTAATGTTCCTTCATCCATATACCATACGTCACGGTGCTCTATCACAGTAGCTTTAAATACAACACAGCCGCTCGATTTAATCGGTGCTGTCCATGTAATCTAAATCCGTCATGTAAATAAAATTTGATGAAAAGAACAACAAAGAGAATGCATGCACTCAGCTGAACAAAGTGTTGGTAGCTAGAAGCGTAGCTAGAAATTTTTGGACAGATGATTTGTCAGTCAACTTCAGTGGCGTAGCTAAGGAAATGGTTTTGGATATAATTTTGATCAAAATCTTCTCCTTCTTTCAACTATGTCACTGGCCTACTCATTCTAGCAACGCATCCCTCAACAGTGCATAGGGCAGTCATGGATTTGTGTGTGAGGAACAAAAAATATAATAAAAAATCATTACCGGAACATCACTCTTTGCCAATGAGTTGGTGTGCGTGACGATATTGGGACATAAATCTGAAAATTTTGATATGGCATGCGAAATGATATGAAATGTTCCTACACTGTCATCATTTGTTTTTGATGCTGTTGCGGTTGTCGTTGACAATGTCTTTCCATCTGACGCATCTCTCTCGACAGTTATGAAGAAACCAGTAAATTTATGTGTAAGACCGTGAGACGCACGTAAAATTCCTTCCAAACTTACTGTAGAGAAAAAAATGTTTTTGAAATGATTAAAAGAAGAAAAGTGGTTGTAAGTCAGGGGGGAAATCACTTGGTGGGGAAAATTTTTTGATAATGGAAATATTTCAACATGATGGAAAACTTTCTATCATTTTTCATGACGGAAGTTGATAGAATTTTTTTCCATCAAGTGGTCTTCCCCCTTTGTAAGATACAAGGTAGACATAAGGAAATGGGGTCGATCATAAATGATGTCTCAAATTTTAGTGGGGCATGGGGGCTGAAGATATGTGCTTCCAAAAGTATTTTGGATATTGTGGTTTCAGGCGCGTAGCCAGGAGGGTCGTGCCACCCCCCCCCCCCCCCCTTCCCATCTTAAACAATTTAGGAAGTGCTCTCGCTGTGGTTCAAAACGTTTAGGGGGAGGACAATACCCTCCTGGCTACGCGCCTGTGTGGTTTAGAAAATTTATTGAACATCGTCATTTATGAACGACCCAAATTTATCTCATTCTCAACATAATTGCCCAATTAAATTTAATCTTGTAAACTTTGAGGTTCTTAAACATTTCTACAGATCAGTGTTGCCTAAACTGTGTGCCACGGCACACTGGTGTGCCGCAGAATTTTTTTAAAAATCATCTTCTATGCGACTTTGGTAATACCATACTCTTAAGGTGTGCCGTGGTTTAAAAAGTTTGGACAACACTGCTATAAATTAATATTAAGGAACTCTCACCAATAATGTTGCGATGAAATAATGGCAATTGCAAACTTACTCGTATAGTTTTCACCCGGAATATAACGTTCCGGATCACCAAGAATTCTCAATTTGTAACGACCATCAGCAGGTGATTTATTGACAGTTGAATTTTCCGGTACTCTATTACATTTTGATAAACTGGCATTACATCTGAATGGCTGATAATTTACGATGATAATTAATCCATAGAAAATGTTAAACAGAGAAATTCGCATGGCTCTCGTTTGGCACGAAAATTACATGTTCACAGTTTATTAATTATTCTTCAGAAGTTTATAATCGTAAAGAACTTCCTCGACACAAAATCATGTTCATTTTGAATTCATTAATCTGCAGAGATTAAAGTTTGTTTTGTATTTTAATTTTCGTCAAAAGAAAGTGAAAAAAAAAGTTTTTTAATAAATTTTATTTTCACTTCCAATACCAACCACAATGGATACAATAACAATACAATGATAATACAGTGATGATGATGAAAATAGTTTTTAAGCAGACTTCTTAAAGAATACGGAAAGGATTTAAAAGTTGATAAACTTTTCATGCTTCAATCTGGTTTGTTCACACAGACAAGAAAGAGTGGAACATAAAGTTCATCACACACACACACACAAAATATTTTCTCAGAACAGATTTTTTTTATTCTTTTTCCTTAAACTTTGCAGCTTTTCATTTTTCACGATGAGGAATTTTGAATGAACGAATAAGAAAACATTCTATAAATTGAATTTTGAGAAGAAAAATTGCTTTAAAATTCTTCTCCCCTTCTCTAGAGTTTGCAGTTTTTATTAAATCGATTTTTAAAAGTTGAGTGGAGAGAAAGTTGAGAAATAATTGGAACTGATGGAAAAGAAGCATTTTTTTGGTTAATTGAGGTAAAGGTAAGTTGAACTCGTCCAGAAAACGAATAAAATTGGTAGACACATGGAATGTCCTCTATATTGCTTACAGGTTCTCTATTTTTAAATAAAATATAGATTCAAAAAATATCTGGTCATCCTAGGTAAAGGTTTATATAATCTAAATCAAGACTGCAGATCAAATAAATATGAGGATTAAACCCATAATGACCTTAGAAGTTAAGCGAAGCAACGATCGAAAGGAGCTCGTCCGTATATAAAAATGCTCAATTTTGAGGTTTAGGTTCAAGTCTCAAAATGACAGCTTTTTTTATAAATTCTCTTCTAGTAGCCTTTAACAAATTATATATTTATTTTGATGCATTTTTGACAACCCCCCCCCCCCCCCCCCCCACTTCCAAATTGAACCATCTGACTACGAACCTGAATCAGTGGCAACACAAATGGCTTTTGTTTAAAATTCAGTGAGGGAATGGGGTGTGTTTAAAAATTCATAATAAGGGTACATTCATTTCTTTGCATTTTTGAACCCCCCCCCCCTCCAAATGGTTTAAATATTTATATAAAAATAATTCTTTTTTCAAAGCTTTATCAAAATTCTTAAGCTTTCAGGACAGTGGTGGACAACATTTTTTGAGCCACGGCACACGTTGAAGTTAAACTATGACAAAATCGCACACAACATACAGTTTGTGGGAATTCCTGAATTTTCTGGCAGCACATAGGTTTGCCATCATTGTTCTAGTGGATCGTTCACTTATTACGTTCGCTTTTTAGGGAAGAGGGGGTCTAAGGTTTATTAACAGCTCAAAAAAGGAAGGTTTAAAAAGTCGTTGTTGTTTTGTGTAACGTAATAATTAAATGAATCCTAATTGAAAGATTGATCCAAAAAACTGAATTTATGACAATCCAAAATGCCAGCAAATCCTTTTTTCTAAATTAATAGTTTCAAAATTTATGCTTAAACGAATACAATAAAATAGAAAGCATGAAAAAAAACCAAGCGTCTTTAAAAGCCTTTTATAGAACACAGTAGCAGCTAACGAGCAGTACATGAGAGAAAAAAAAAACATCGGAAGGAATTTTTAATAAAGCTGTTATTCTCTTAAAATATTAGCATTTCAAATTCTTTTCATCCTCTCCCTTTTCTGTTGCTTCCCTCAATTGTGAAGTGTCTTCAATGAAACATGTAACGAAGCTAGCTATGAATGAAGCAAGCGATGAGTTTTGACATCGTCATTGATTGTTGGACGCTTTTAGCGCATTGGAATTTTTGTGATATTTTTACATTTTAGCAGATTAGATAGGAGACAAAATTGGGTTGTCGGAAGAAAGGATATTAAGGTTCTATGTCGCTAAGAGAAAATGGCAACAGCATGGGGTCGTTCACTTGTGACGTCCAAAATTAACGGTCATTTTTCAAAAGATAACAGTGAATTTTCAGGAATTTCTTCTTGTTGACCCCTACACTTGGACGTCATAAGTAAACGACCTTTTTGATTTTGATTGATATTTTTGAATATTAAAGCTATTAATGGACCAAAATCATTCGTTTCACATTCTTATAATATATTGTCATAATTACTAAGGGCTGTTCACTTATTACGTAACGCGAAAAAATGACTTCTTAGACCCCCCCCCTCCTCGTAACAAAATTTGTATGAAAAAAAAATTTCCTTGTTTGAACCGTAACAAAATCTTAGACCCCTCTCCCCCCTAAAAGCGTTACGTAATAAGTGAATGGCCCCTAAGAAGATGCTATTGCCAATCGAACGTAACTCAGTTTTAAGCAAAAAATAAATGCAGGCAAAGCAGTAATCCACTTTGAATTTTTAAATATTGTTGAAAAAGCTCTTGAAGCACTCAACATACATATTATGAAGGTATCAAGCATTAAAATTCGAAAATTGGGAAGAAGCAGCCGCAATAATTTTTCGAAACGCCGATTAAAATTTTCTGGATCATTAAACCAGACCATCCGAGACTATTACTTGAGCATCATATGCTGTAACCAGTTGTTTATGTCTGTTGTTTCGGATGACGACATTTATGGCATTCCTCTATTATTTTAAAATGTTCGTAAATAATAGCAGACAAAATGTAAGCCTTAAAAGCTTTGTTATTAAAAATTGTAAAGTGCTAAAAAAAATTTCCTCCTTTGAATTGGGATGAAAAAAAATATTCACTTAATGGAGGAAGTTTTATGGCCACGATGGGAAATTATTTTAAAGCTTTTATTAGTAGACACAATGAGTAGACTATGAACATGAATATATAGATACGGAGAGCTTAAAGAATGAATAAAGAAAGCGATTGTATTTTTAATTCTCATGGACAAAAGTTGAGGGGAAGAAAATTCTCATGTTTTTTTCTTATTTTGGAGATAATAAGGAGATTAGAGCAAGAAAAATATGTAGACACATTCGAGTGGAGTTCAAATGAAATAATAAAAGAATCGGCACGCAAAAAAAAGGCCGATCGGAAGAATGAAAAGCAAATTGAGGAAGAAAATGAAAATGAAAGAAGAAAAAAAATCTTCACAGGAAATTTGATATTTTTTACACTTTTTTGTTATTTTTTTTTTCAATTTTATTTTTATCAATTTCAATTTTTCTGGAGATCAGTTTGCAAAATAGATTTTTGTGAAAACGCTTTTATAGTCTTTTTCTGAAGTTTACAATTTATAAGGAACAAAATGTGTCATTTCGAACTTTCCAACGGTTAAAATTTTTCAATTATTAATTACAAGATCAATAAATTGATTGGAATCTTAACTAAACTGTTCATCTGTTTTTGCCGATTTTCGGTCAAAAAACGGGACATTCCCCGATTTTAGCTCTAAAAAAGCGGGGCAAATTAAATTTTCAAACATGTTCCAAGAAAAATAGGTTTAAAAATGCGGGACATTAAGGATTTTAGGTGGAACGTTGTTCAAAAAAGCGGGATTTTCCTGCTCAAAAAGCGCAGTTGGACAGATTATTTTTAATCCACATAGATTTAGATTTTAGTTTGATGGTTACTTTAGAAGACCAACTTAATCATTCTTCAAAAATTCCCAAAACAGCAATATTCACCTTTTCAACACGATGTGCTTTATGGGTTTTTAACTAAGTAGCCTAAGCAGGCTCGCATCCAAAAATTTGAACAGGGGAGACAAAAGAAAATTTGTATCAAAAAGTTTAAGGTGATGGGGATATTTTAGGAGATTCTGTGATATTTTAAATCAAGAAAAGGACAAGAACTAGATTTTTGAAGACTCCTAGAGTCATCTGATGTATTTGAACTTAGTATTTTTGCCTAGCCCTACTCTATAATTATCGAAAGATTAGGTTTTGAACTGTTTTAAATTTCAAACCAAGTTTATAATATTTTAAAAAATTTATGATGCATGTCAAACACATTAACGAATCAAAGGACTTAACTAGAGTTCAATTTAAATATTCTCATAAAAATCCCTGAAATAAACGAGACTTAAGGATTGAGTAAACCAATTAATAAGGTTTAAACAATTTCATCTTACAAAAACAGCGCTTCTGCTCCTCGTGAATGCCTTCATTCGTACTAATTCGAAACGTTAACATTCCCAAAACGAACATTCATTGTGCTTTTCTACAGATTAACTTTTTTTTGTTCACTCTTCTATCTCGAATATGTCCATTTCAGATTTCATATTTTCCTCAGTGATGTTGCTTCATATTTTTTTTTTATTGTGTTCCTTTAATTTTTTTTTCTTTAGTTCTTTATGAAGATATATTGAATTTTTTTTATATTATCATCATCATTCATACATAATAAAAAATTCCACTCGCTGCTCTTGGTTTTATAAATGTCGCAGAGGGAAAATTTAAAATGTTATTTATTATTTTTGTAGAGTATTATGATATTTTTTTGTTCTGTATCTATAACATTTAGGTATAAAGTGAACCAGGGGCGTAGCCAGAAAATTTTTAAGGGGGGGGGGCCCATTTTCGAAAATTAAAAAAACCGTTATTTTGTATCCTTAAATCTATATTCATTCTTCATAAGTTTAAATATTTAATTCATTATTCATACATTAAATTAAATTTTTCGTGCTGATTTTGACATTTCTTTCATCACTTCCTCTACATTAACTGGTTCTTCTCTATAAATACTTAATAAAACAATTATCAGATTTTCGTAGGGGGGGAGGGGGCCCTATGCCCCCCCTGGCTACGCCCCTGCAGTGAATTGACGTTCGGAGATGAAAATGAAAACTTTATCGTGAACTCTCAATTTTCAATGATATCAAATTTAAGCTTAAATGCTAAAGTTTTTTTGTTTTGTTTTTCATGCTTGATGGCATTGAAAAAAAAGTCGAAATAAATTTTTTTTATCAGATTGTGTTTAAAAGCCTTACTTTTATGTGTGATATCTGAAAATATTTTTTTTTGCTTTACAGTTGAATAGTTTTATGAACTTTTTTTTATTCCATTTATTTATTTTATATTTTTC